TCGTTTCTGTAGCAACTACTTGCACAAAGGACTTGCACGACAGATGTGATCACATGGCAGATGTGTAACCATTGATATGGTGACGTTTTCTGTGATGAGAAGTTTATTTAGCATTTTAAGAAGGAGTCTCCAGTATTCAAACTTTGTAACAGTCAAAGGTAAAGCCATAACATCCAAAAGACGAAAGTCTTCAGGAAAAATGGCTGCAATTTTTGTCTTTAAACTTTAAAAGAGACAAATCAGAGACTGGTGAAGGACTGGCTGCTATAATAGACAGAATGCTAGCTGATATAACAATGTAGATTCCACAGATATTCCACAACATTAAGCGTAACTATAAACTGAAAAAGGGGGTTACTGTGTGTGTGTGTGTGTGTGTGTGTGTATATATATATATATATATATATACACACACACATACATACACACACACGCATGTGTGCGTGTAGTTCCTGTCAGAGTTCCAGGTTAGTTCCTGCTATCACTTACATTATAAACAGCTAGCAACAGCCATTCCCTCACCAGCCTCACTTTTTCTCTGTCTCTCTCTCTCTCAGTCTCTCTCTCTCCAAGTTATTAAGACAGGAAAAAAAAAACACAGCTTGTCATGTTAGCAAGAGACAGGAATCACAAACTCCTGCATCTTTAAAGCGAATGGATGGAAAAATTGACACAGGAGACGCCTTATATTAAGGTTAACTCAAGTATCCTTCTAGAAAGCTTCACCATATCAACAACGGTATAGTTGTTATGGTATAAAAATACCATAGATTCTGGGGCTAATCCACTATATAAGTCTCTTTCAATGAGCTGTTACTATTAGACTCAGGATACAAGAACGAGTGCATTAAGATAAATGTAAAAGAAAATTTGGATTACAGCTGGCACTACAGTCAGAGCTGCTGTTATAGAAAACTAATCAACACTTTCTGATCAATCAGATTTGAGAATTCAACAGTGCTGCGGTGTCATTTCCTATAACAGCACACCGTGTCATGTTTTACTGCTTACTTAAATAATACTATACATTTTAGAATAAGCCAGCACTTTTCTAGCCCCAGTTGCTCTCTCTCTCTCTCACACACACGGTTGAAGATTCATTCTGCACAAATGAACACACACACACACACACACACACACAACAGCAGGCACATCTTTGAGCAGGCGTACTAATATAAAAGCAAAAGAACAGGACAGAGGCAGGGAGGACAGGAAGATGAAAAGAGGATAACACTCAATCCTTTCAGACTGTACATAAGCGCTAGCAGCAAGAGGATTAACATCTTGTCATGGTGGTATTTAAGTGGATGTTTGACAAACTGACCAAGCCCAGTCAGAGATGACCACTTCCTTACAAAAGCATGCATTAAAGGGGAAAAAAAAGAAGAAAAAAAACAACATCATCAAGACATTCAAAGGGAGGCTCAATGGGTCTAATTCATAGCCAGAGTTATGTTCGGAAGAAATGACATTTTATTTCCTGTTCGTTTTGCGTAGGTTTTTATTTACTGGTCCTCTCTCTGCCAACAACAGCTCAACCCTGTGCTTGGTTCACGGCGGGGGAAGAACGTTAGCCCGGAGCCGCATTTCATTACATGCCATGTTTAACTATACACACTTCTCCTAAAACACACACGAGGCTTATAATGTGCTTAATATTCACTATCAGGTGAATAATTTTTATCCAAGTCTGATAGTTGGAGGAGATGGATAACTCAATTATCAGCACATCCGTCACACAGCTCCCTGGCACGGCAAAAGCAGCAGCTAAGATTGATGGTAAGATGAGACCAATGGCTTCTTCGTCATCACAGCCAGTCAGTGGGCCTGAACACGCTTTTTTCCCCCCTCCTTTGCCTCTCGTTCTTTCTTTCTTTTCTATTTTTTCCCCCCTATCTGCAGCCTTCATATGCGAAGCATCATTACCCCTCACTCCACTGAGGAAAGTGTATTATGAGGTTAGTGTTTTGGCAAGGCTATTGTTTGGATGATGAATATATTTGGTCAGGGAGAGAAAATTAGTTGTGTCATTTGGAGGAAAAATACAACACCATTTCTCAGGGATTTTTTCCCTTCCTTTTTTTTCTTCTTCTTCTTTGCAGTGCTTAAGAGTAAACAAGAACGATTAACAAAGGCTAGAAGTTCTGGTACTAGTTTAAAACCACAAAACATAAATAAGCTAATCAGCAGAGCCGTCACACAAGAGCGCTGCAGTAATTAAATGAGCGACCGTCATGTTAAGAAGGTCAGTCAGAAGGAAACCCAGCATGCTTTTCAGTGGATCACTGTCATTTTTTTCTCCGCCAACACAAGGAATGAACGAATCTAAGAAGGCCACTTGCCTCCACATCAAGCCATACCATAAATTAGAAGAGAAAGCGCGGGTGATGTCACCCGATCACTCTCATTGCATTGACATCAGTTCAGTGGGCAGTGCAGCACAGGCTCTCTCTGTGTGTGTGTGTGTGTGTGTGTGTGTGTAGGGTGGGGGCTCTCCAACTGCTCAGGCTTAACAATGGGAGAGCGCATTCAAAATGTCAAATGTAAATGTCAATTAAAAATTACAAGGGAGCTCCAAAAGGTGCATTTTGAAGGGGCTGACATTTTTTTGATAGGGCAGAGTTTATCGGGTGAGGCAGCCCACAAACATGACGGCATGGGTACTGTCAGCTCCCTACACACATGAGCAGGAAAGCCACTGCTGAATGCTGATGGGAAGGTCCTCACCGTCATGTACAATACATCTTTGTAGGAGAAACCGTAAAGCTAAATCTCCTCTGCTAGAGCGCATTCATCATTAAGGCCGCAGCGGCATCAGAGGCAATGAGCGTTGCTGATAAATCTAAATGATTTTGTGTCTCATCATAGAAAATAATGGCATGAAAGGATATGATTGACATTTTTGACTGTTTTCATTCAAGTGTTGTCTCATTAAATGCAATGTCCCTCATAGTCTAGGAATGTTCCCAGTCGTGGGCCAGTATTTTCTGCTCAACAATTTTTGAAAGATTTTTAATGGGGCCTACTAAAAGCTGAAGTGTTCAAAGTCTATCACCCTCCAGTGAGTTCTGAATCTCATTTCCATTTCCAAATAAAACCTCACAAAATGGAGAACATAGCATAGTGTTGATTATAACTTTGGCATCACTTGGCAGTTCGGGTTCGACTCATTGCACAGTTTTGTAGGAATCATCTTCACGAAGACGGCATCTGTTACTGAAATCAAGGCCCTCAAACACAAGACACGTAGACGCTGAAAATACAAGGACCTAAAAATAAAACTACAGCAGTCACTGTAGTAGTGTGAAGTATTTAAAATAACCTCTTTTAGACTGAGGACATTAAAGACACCTACATGAAATCAAAGGGCACTGCTTTACGCTCAATTCTAATGAAAATAATTACTTTACTAATCTCCTGCTCTGAAGGTGACGACCCAGTCATCAAATAACATTCAGGAGACATCATTAAGCTGATGTGAGGGCTGCCCTTTGCTGCTCGTCATGTCACTGTGCTTTCCAAACTCAAAACTCAGCATCACTTCAATTTACAGGTGCCTTATTAACTCATGGCTCGCAAATTTTGACAAATAGGTGTAATCTAGAAACGTTTGTGCTGTAGTGGGTTGATGAGACGTGGTGTGTAGCTGTCTCTGTACAAGGTTTCTAAGGTCAGGAGCTCGCGGCTCTGTACCGGCATGTCACAATGTGTCAGCCGGCCATCAGCCACAGCTTGGCTAGTGGGGGTGACCTTTCAGTTCTACAGATGTGTGAGCACTTCCCCCACCACACACACAGATATATACATTATATTATATTTTTTATATATACATTATATAACAATGTAGATTCCACAGATATTCCACAACATTAAGCATAACTATAAACTGAAAAAGTCAAAGAGCCGTTCTTTAGTATAATATATTTTACATATATACATTCCTTTCGAATGGTAAATGTGCACTTATATAGCGCTTTTATCCAAAGCGCTTTACACTGTGTCTCATTCACCCATTCACACACACACACACACACACCAATAGTAGCTGCCATGCAAGGCACTAACTTCATGGAATTTCATGGTTTTCTGAATAAATTTGTCATAAAATGTGATCTGATTTTCATCAAGTCAGGGGTATTGACAAATAGAATGTGCCTAAAAGAACAACACACAAAAAAATTCTGATCTTCCATGTCTTTATTGAACACACTCATTCAACATTCAAAATGCAAGTGGAAAAAGTAAGTGAACCCTTAGAATTAATAACTAGTTGACCCCCCAAGGCTCGCCAATCTGGCAACAGATGCGTCAGCAAATTATCAACATTGCCAAAAGACAAATCAGTAGGATTTTGGGCATTTCACCTTCTACAGTGCACAATAAAATTAAAAGCTTCAAAGAATCTGATCAAACCTCCGTGTTTAAAGGGCAAGGCCGAAAACCATTTCTGAATGAGTGTGATCTCCATTCCCTCAGACGTCACTGTTTTAAAAACAGTCATGAGTCTGTACTGGATATCCTGACATGGGCTCGGGAATACTTTGGTAAAACTTTGTTAGTCAGCACCATTCACTGCTGCATCCACAGATGCAAGTTAAGGCTTTACTATGCAAAGCAGAAGTCATCCATCAACACTGTTCAGAAACACTGCAGACTAAGCTTGGTCTCATCTGAGATGGACAGAAGCACAGTGGAATCGGGTTTTGTGGTCCGACGAGTCGACATTTAAAATAGTTTTTGGACAAAACAACCGTCGTGTTCTCCGGACCAAAGAGGAAAAGGACCATCCAAGCTGTTATCAGTGTCAGGTCCAAAAGACAGCATCTGTCATAGTATGGGGGTGTGTCAGAGCCCATGATAATTTGCACAATTGTGAGGGCAGCAATAATGCAGAAAGTTATGTACACATTTTGGAGCAACATATGCTGCAATCCAGAGCTCCAACACCAGACCATATTCTGCCTGCAGCATGGGGAGAACACGCAAACTCTGCACACACAGGGCAGCGGCGGGAATCGAACCCCCAACCTTTGAGGTGTGAGGCAACCATGCTAACCACTATACCTGTCATGCTTGTTCAATGAACCATGAATAATTATTGCACATGCACCTGTGGAACAGTCCTCATGACACGAACAGTTTACATGCAGTAGGCAATTAAGGTCACAGTTACAATAACTTAGGACACCAAAGAGACCTTTCTACTGACTCTGAAAAACACCAGAAGAAAGATGCCTAGGGTTCCTGCTCACATACGTGAACATGCCATAGACCTGCTGCAGGGAGGCATGAGGACTGCAGATGTGGCCAGAGCAATAAACGGCAATGTCTGTAATGTAAGATGCCTAAGACAGTGCTACAGGGAGACAGGAAGGACAGCTGATCATCCATGCAGTGGAAAATTACATGTAACCATGTGTCCTCCCAGATGTGATGGAGAACTTGCAAATGCCTTGGTGGAAGAGTGGAGTAACATCTCACAGCAAGAACTGACAAATCTGGTACAGTCCATGAGGATGCACTGTAGTACTTAAAGCAGCTGGAGGCCAGAGATACTAACTTTTAATATTGACCCCCGGTTTGTTCCATTTCTGTTCGTCAAATATCTGTGAAACTTGTTCAGTTTATGTCTCATTTGGTGAATATTTTTTATATTAAAACAAATATTTACACATTAAGACATTGGCTTTAAATAAAAGCAGCTGAATGTGAGAGGACGTTTCTTTTTTTTGAGCTTATGTGTATAAGTATGTATGTGTAATCTGATTGATCAGAGATTAATTAACTTTCTATAACAGCATAGCTCCAACAATAGTTCTGGCTGCAAAAAAAATTAAAAATTAAGTTTATATTAATGATTTTGCTGTAATACAGTGGTTCTCAACCCGGGGTTACATGGAGAGATCTGAAGTGGGGCACAAATTGTTTTCAAGAAAAATAAAAAACACAGACAGGACATTTGGGTACTCTGTGTATTTTATGGCTTTTCAAATAGAATGTGCGTAAATGAAAAACCCCACATTCCCTCTCCCTCTGTATATTCTTTTTGCTGGGAAGAGGCGGAGCTTAGCCTGCCTTTTATCTAGCGCTCAGTGCAGACCAGTGTTGCCAACTTAGTGACTTTTTTTTTTACTTTACTAGTTTTTTTGCCAAAAAGTGCCTAACTTTCCAAATGTCGCCAGTACTGTCCTGCAAGCACGAGATCTTGCTTTCCCTCTGTACTCACACTTCTCTCTACATCTGCTCTGTTCAGTGAGGGGCTGAGAGCCGGAGATTTAACAATGTCATGGATAACGAGACGTGCCCTTCATCCCAATTTACATAATTCATATGGGAATGTTTTTAGAACGCAAGACGAATATAATGCAACATGTTTTAAATGTAATAGTACACGTTATTACAGCCTAGTTCTCTTGTTTAAAGTAGTTATATTGTTCAGAAACATTTTTGATCATGCATAGTTTTATAAAAGTTTTTTTTTTAAAGTAAAAAAACAAAAAAGCAAAAAAAAAATAAAAATTTTAATCTATCTATAAAAACAGATTATAGATTAGTTTAATATATAGGTAGATAGATCATTATACCTGGTCTCCTCCACATGATAATGGAGGCTTGGAGGGGCTTTAGTTAAAAAAAGGATGAGAACCTCTGCTCTAACGGTCACAGTATTTCTAGAGTAACAAGAAAATTCACAGGGACTTGTATGGTAGACACATAATCTAATCCTAATAATTAATGGATTAAAATGCTGTAATTTAATAAGTGGAAAAAATGTCTAAACCATGTGAAGCTTTCTGTTCATATAACATTTATGGAAGGAGTCTCTAGTGTCAGAACTACATAAGAGACAAAAGAGAGGATGATCAGGGAATGACTGTTTAGAGTTGCTTAGATATTTACACATGCATGTATACACTCACACACATTGGAAATTAATTTATTTATATATATACACACACACACACACATACACACACACACATACTTATACACAGTTTGCAAATTGCTGTGGCAGATGAGGAGTAAACCACTCCAGGACACGTTGTTATAGGAGAATAATTAACTTCAGAATGGTAACAATCACACAACACTGTTGTTGATTATTTTCCTATAACTTAAAGCATGCATATTCTGTTATGTTTTGTTCCATTTATTATGTTTCATGCTTCAAATAGAAAAAGCCATCTCTGTGTTACATTAAGACAAAAATAGACACACTGTACTAAGTTGATAAATCTTTTGATGGTATCTCACTATTTTCTTTTAATAGTATTTTTTCCCTCTTGCATGTCCCATATTTCTGTGGGGTGAAAAATCATTTCAAGCTGCATGCACTTCTTCATTGTTGTATGCGCAGTACAATGCTGCAGTGATGAATCGTTCGGAAAGGAAAGTTTTTTTTTTTCTTCACAAACCAAATACAGCTGTTTACATGACCTCAAACGTATGACTTGCTTAGAAAGCCTGCTGTAGTTTGTTTGGTTTTTACAAACGATCGCGCGTCCCTTTCAGAGAACACGCTGAGCCTTCATTCTGTCAGTCACACATATGCACAGATGGAAACACAGAGAAAATCAGCTATATGGAGGCATATGATGTTAATCTGTACATGGCTGATTCTGTAGGGAGCCTTCAGCTAAAAAGCCATAAGCCATTCCTGTAGCACAGGGTCAGTGTGCTCTTATCCTCTCAGTGTAAGAAACGAAGCCCTGTACCTACTCCACCTGACAGGCCAGACAGTAAAATGCCCTCTGGACTGAGACAGATTAGAGGTAGCTAGTATAACAGTGTGTAGTGGTAAGAGGTTTAAATCAACCAGAAAAAAAAACAGCAACAGAAAATTCGATTTAATTTGTGCTTCCATCAACCACGGTTACGTTGAAATTTCGGAAGACGATGTAACACGATTAAGGTGAAAACCACTACAATCCCCAACGTGCTTAGCCAGTGCACATAAAGACATGGAAGTCAAACAAACTGCAGCATAAATGTGAGATACTTATAGATATGTATACCACTGGGCTGTTGAATTCTCCAATCTGATTAATCAGAAGATGTTGAATAATTTTCAATAACCACACCTTTAACAGCAGTGCTTTTTCTTTATCGTTTCTATGGCAACAGCACATTCACAACGACTTGTACAGTAGACACTCCAAGTAATTGAAGGTTAATACTAAACAAATAAACATGCGTGTTGCTCTTTAAAAAAAAAAAAAAAAAAAAAAAAGTATAATTGTTGACATGAAGTTTCTGTAAACAGATGTTTAGGTAGTCTCTAGTGTCTTTGTAACAGTCAGAGATGAAGCAGATTTTGGTCCCGGAAGTGAATTAACTTGTTTCTTGGACATTACACAGCATTAACTTTAACTGTATACACATAAGTACAAAGTGACGTTTTTGTTTTTTTTTATAAATAAATAAATAAATAATTGAAATCGGTAACAAATTGCTGTGGTATAAGAGGAATGAAACATTTCTGGATGTGGTGTTTGAGGGAAAATAATCAACAACGTGGACGCTGAAGCGGATTATTTTCCTATAACAACTAATCTTGTCATGATTTATTCCTGGCGTATTCAGAACCATTAAAAAATATTCCCTGTCGAAATCAATTTTAAAATACTGACCGTCGAATACTGCACATCCCGTCGAGAAGACTTGTGATTAGTGTGCAAAAACATGATCATAAAAACATTCTCAAAAGTTATCTGGACTACAGCGGTCTTGGTTCAGATTGATCAGAAATAAACCCAGTTTCCATTCGATAGGGAATGATTTATAGGACAATTCGTTTCCATTACATTTTGTCCTGCATATTGTCTATCCCCACCCATCAGTTTATAATAAACATATACAAAATTTGGATAAACGAGGTACGAGGAAAACCTCGTAGTGTTAGCATAACCGATATCAAAGCCACACTGATAATCTCAAGCTAAAAATGCTGTCTAAATGACATTATTAAAGAATAAAATGAATAGTAATTATGTTATTCAAGTCGTTCTATGAAGCGTGATGAGTATAAAGTGATCACCGAGATATTCAATGGCAATGAAGTTGTAAGAATATACTACGAGAGCCTATTAAGGACTCCTAAAGAGCTTCTTACCTGTTCCAGTAACTCCAGAACTGCTCGTTTAGATAAGTGCGATGACTGTGCTCATCCCCAAATGAGGCCTTGCTCTCAATCCAGTGGACAATGTGGCCTTCAACAGCTGAGGGTAAAAAATAATAATAAATAATAAAAATTCTAACAGTATATCACTGATTTTGCACTGGATTTAGTTTGCTATGGCATTTTGAATGCAGAAAGGAAATGTGTAAATCCATCTAACTTCATCATGAAGAAAAGCTTCTCCTGAGGCGACATGTGGTATTTTCTTGTAAGATGCTTTTATATTTTGTATTCAAAGCAGAAAAAAAAAACATCATAAGACATGAAATGGCATTATTTTAACAATAGCTTGTGTCTGATATAACTCTAGGCCGATTATAGTCACTGCTGACTGACCAAGTGATGCTTTTCTTACTGATTCTCCAAAGACTTACCAATGGGGACTTCTAGAATAATGTCAGGGGTCTTGTCATAACCCTTGGCCCGTAGCTGATTCTCATCTGAGGGGAAACATTTCAGGCAATTACTTAAATCGTCCTAATCAAATTCAGCAAAAAGGAAGTGGACTTTACGCCTAAGTGACAAAAATGACCTTTATCATATTCGGGCACTAATAATAAAACAGCGTGTGGTCTGCTACTCGCCTCCAGATCACTGACATATAGAGTGTAAATGGGAAAAGTAGGAGTGTGTTTAAAAACAAAAGTAATATTGAAAAAATATATATATCCCATACCTAGTGGGATAACTAACTTATTTATATGTCGACTTCCTACCGAATATGTAATACAACAGACTCTACAGAAAGCACAGACTTTTGTACACACACTGAAATCATCACACTTTACATCTGCCAATGATTTGCAAACACTGCACAAAAATCCATCAGGGCAGGTTGGAGGTGGAAAGCATTGAGCTGGTGAGCTTCATAAAGAACAGAAAGGACATGGCTGGCATTATAGCAGCTGAAGGCATGACCCTTGTGTGCGTGTGCCTCAGCCATTGTCCTTGACTCGTGGCGCGGTTCGGCCATTATTTGCGGAACACCTGATTTCTCCATTAAATCTCAGTCTGACCAGGTCATTCAATTCCAGGGGCTGGCCTCTCCGTCTTCAGCCAAGCTCGACTAATGGGCTGAGGGGGAAGAGGGCTGAAGGTCTTGGACTGTGAGGGGGTCTGGGCTGTGTGGTCGGTCTCTCTCTCTCTCTCTCTCTCTCTCGGTCTCTCGACACCTACCGGGCTGTTGACACCGTCATGCGGCGCCGATCGCCTTTTTACATCACCGTTGATTAAAATTAATGGGCCATCCCTAGTGTTGGGGAGCTTATTTCCAATCCATTTATCAGCTGAGCGAGGCCACCTCTGTGACCCCTGCGCCCCAAACTTTGACAGTTTTAGAACAGTCCTCGCGGCCGTCTCTGCTAAGGTCAGGACTCTGGGTCCAAATAAATGATATCTTCTTAATGACAGAAAGAAAGAAAAAAAAAAGAAAGAAAGACTGATTTGAAAAAGCCTCCTTGCTTTTCTGTAGGGTATTGAGATGGGAAAGGAAATTTCACACCTGGCTACTCACAACCTTAACTTTAAAATCTTCCAACATCATGATGCTTAGGCTCAGGCGGGGTTCGGAGACAGCAGGTCAATATGCATCTGTCTATTGTATTTATGGTACAATCTATTCTAAAAACGAGCGCAAAACAATTACATAAAGGAGATTTTACCTAAGTTTACTATAAATTCAAGTATGAAGAGGACAATGGGCGAAACCCCAATGGCTTTAATTCACAGGTAATAAAAGAACAATAAATCCTCACTTATATCGCTGTTCACAAATAAAAGGAAATAGGAATGCTGGCAGTAAACGGCTTACCTACAAAGGAGAGGTTCCTCTCTCGGAGTTTCTCTCGCAGGATCTCCTCATGCTCCTGACCAATAGCACTGATGAGGCACAGTTTAGGAAAAGCAGGAAGCAACTTTTAAGTACAACTAAAGAATTAAGTCAGCGCATGATGCCTTACAGTCTACTTCGAAACATATATTTGAGTAAACGTTTCAACTATTACAGCAGATTAACGCATGCCATTTTCATTTTAAATGAAGAGCAAGTGAGTGGAGGAAAAAAGGCAACTTGTCAAATTTGACTCATAAAATGGGGGCAATTTTACCTGCATGCAAGGTTGCTATGGAAACGCCCAAGTTTCAGAGCAGTGTTGCTGTGGCAACACCAGAAGAGTGTACTATTGTCTGTGTGAGCGCGTGTGTGCGCGCGTGTGTGTATATATTTTTTTAATATAATATAGATGCTTGGGAATAGCAACTGCAATAAAGTTGAGAATCAATAGGATTGGGTGTGAATTTTTTTTCCCCCCAGCCACTAAACGATACTTAAGATGAAGATCACAATCACCTGGAATTGCATTTGAAAATGATGAAAAGTGCCACAGTGCATTGAATGGTACACTTAATGCAAAAGAACAGCACAACAAACTTTAATATCAAAAGTGCACAGGGTTGGGAAAACGCCACTCCGTAATCTCAAACTGGGACGGTATATGGTATACACTTTAGGTTGTTGATCTTTATTTGACTGATAGGTACTTAACATTTCCAATTTATCAGATCAGGTCTGATTTCATGCTTAACTCCTTCTAAATGAGCTCATGCGCCTTTTCACTGAGACAAGTGACTGCCTGGGTCATTACGGGGACGTCTGGGTGCAGGCACTGGAGCAAGTCCCCTGATGTCATGATGCAGCGCCAGAAGAAGAGCGAGTGGGCTGGTTTGATGATCTCTCAGAGGAAAAGCAAGTGAATGACGAATAATGCTGGAGGGAGAGGTGTGAAAGGAGGTAAAGAGGCAGGATGACGATGGTGGGCAGGGTGGGACAAGGTTCAGTGGCCAAGAACAGACAAGCCTAGCATGGTCCCCAGCTGCCTGGTCCTAAACAGCCTGCAGACTGACCAACTCCACCTCTCACTCTCTCTCTCTCGCTCTCTCACACACACACACACACACAAAATAGTCTCATGGGTGCAGTATTTATATGATGACCCATTTCTGACAGTCCATAACCGTCCGTCTCCTGTCCTCTGATCACTAAGACTGCATCACTGGCTGTAGCTAGGAGTACAAACTTACGAGTGGGTATGTTCAAGTCAGAATCGCTTTCTTGAATTGTTTTCTATGGTCTGATTTGATTTCAGATTTAAGCACACCAGAAAGATGTTCATTCACTGGTCAGAAATATGGTGACGAAAATGCCATGTTTACCCAAACAACAGGCAACAAGGAGCTGGTGTGCAAGAAAAATAGATATATGTAATATAATGCAATGTAATAAATCATTTTAATACAGTGGTATTTTTGATCCATGTATTTTTGAAAGACATTCTAACTGTGCGGCACTTTAGCTCCATCCTCTGCCGTGTCAGTCAGCAGCTCACATGTCCAACATGCTGTAACCCGTAATATGCAGCAAAATTTGCTTCGGTTTGAATCAGGGATGAATCATGGTCTCCTCGCAATCAAACCACATTAGAGCTCTCTTGGAAGTGTATTGAGTGCATGCCTGACAGGCAGTTTCTTCAATTATGCAGTTTAGTCCATTTGAACCAAACCCTGGTGCTTTGTCCTCTTTAGTGTGGTTCTTTAGCCAGGTGAGAACACAGCAATTGGACTCGAGTGAGGACTAAAACATCTGACTGAAGTAGACTAGGTCTGATTTCACTCAGACTGTAGCACAGAAATTTTACTGCACTGAGAAAACAATATGACCCTCAGTTGACCAAACACTGCTATACTGTGGCTTGTGAGAAGCATTTTTGAAATATGAGGCAAAATAGAGCTAAAGCTCAACAGGAATAGGATTTATCATCTGGAAATGCTGGATCATCATCATGATCATTATCATCATGTTATTTCGGCTGCTCCCCTTTAGAGGCTCACTACAGCGAATTAACAATCGGCACAATTTAATTTGGTGCAGGTTTTACGCCAGATGCCCATCCAGGCTATGGACAGGCACTGAGAGTACCAGTGGCTAGGTTGGTCCCCTGCCTGGGGATCGAACCCAGGCCACAGCGGTGAGAGCGTGGGATCCTAGCCGCTAGACCACCTATTATGAATTACTAATTTATTGATTTGTTCTCCATGCTTGGTTGAGATCTGTGAATCTTTATCTTCATTGAACTTTTTCCATTACTGTATTTCTGACCAATGAATTAAAGTACTTTAAAAGTATGTTTTCTTATCCCAAATGCCCCTGAGCAAAGTTTTTTGTGTGCAAACACTGGATACAACTTAACGCCATGCACCAATAACAGCGTTGGATATGCGGATAGCCAAATTCATTACCAAGGATGTGTATATAGCCATTCCATCCAAAACGGTTTACTGATGAACTCATCAACTTCACATGGACATCTCAACTGTATTATTGTGTGCCAAACTCTTTATGTCCCAGTCATTGAAAAGTGGATAACGTCACTTGTATACAATAGACATTATTTTAAATAGCATATAAATAATCCCATTATCTGGTGTCACACAGAAGAGGACGGGTTGCCTTTTGAGTCTGGTTCCTCTCAAGGATTATGCCTCATGTCGTCTCAGGGAGTTTTTCCTTGCCTCCTCAGGTTTGCTTATGAGGGACAAATTTAAATCTATATCCACATTTCTGTAAAGCTGCCCTGTAAAAATGTCCATTAAAAAGGCTATATAAATAAAACTGAACTGAATTAAAACAGTCAGTCAAACTCACTCAGCTCAATCAGAAAACGAAAATCATAAGAATGAAGTTAACGATCTCTGATTTAAATTCAGTGTCTCAAGTGTGAAACAGAATGAGTGTGGTGTGTAAAAGACTGAAAGACGAAATGAGTCCTGACTGAAGGACGACGGACAAAGGTCCATCATGGTGACCTGACAAGTACTCTCCAAGGTGCTGATAAATCTCCCATAAACACACAAGAGGAAGAGAATAAACTAGAGCAAGTGAGTTAAAAGGGGTTTTACTTCAAACCTGTGAAATAAGTGAATTTGGTGAATGTAAAGCTTGTTTGGATAGAGCCTGCTTCTTGTTTGCATCTCATCTCAGACAACCTCATCTTCGGCTGCATCCACCATATTGAAATGATGTATAAATAGAGAATTACAGAAGAATGATGCAATACTTACCCTACATATAGATATATACAATCACACACACACACACACACACACACAGAACTTCAGGTGAAGCTCGACACATCTCCGAGAACAGCTCCTCGTCAACTTTAGGCTTAAAATTTTATGGGAAAGGATACTGTTTGATGCAGTCGACCAGCGGTCCATAACAGCAGTCATTTATGGTGCACTGAAAAAAAGAGGGAAGAAATATTGCAGCTTGGCTAAGGGGGGTGGAAGAGGGGCTCTGTGCACCCGTTAAACTGATAGCAGGAAGGGAGGCAAACACTGGAGACGACTTCATGCCACGCACCAACACAGACACTCGCATGATGCTATTAGCAAAGATGAGACAGTGGATTATTTACTGGAGCTGGATGCATGTCTAGTCAAGTGAATCAACATGCAAGTGTATGTACATCCGAAGGCACATACTGATGATATCATAGACTTCACATGGACATCTCCGCTGCATCATTAGTCACCTGTTATGCATTAATTCAGCATTTAATGCATAAAAGTGATCGAGACAGTGAGTGTACCTGTTCCACATGTCTGGCCAGCTGCACATCTGGAATTAAAGATGGCTCCCGCAACATGCTGTTCAGGACTTGCTTGGATGCTGATTAAAAGGGGGGAAAAAATCCACAAATACAAAAAAAATAAATAACAGAAAAATATCACAATTATGGAACTACAGCTTAACAGACAGCCAGGAAAGAAACCTTTTGCCCTAATTGACTAGGTCATGGCAGTGATATATCACTGTTAGCGCAGCTCTAGACACAAATACCATCTTTTACACCACTTACTCTGACACGTTCCGTACTCAATTGGGTGGAAGCTCCGAGCCGAGTGAGTTTTTGCGCAGATAAATGCTTCAGTCATGTTATGAAGGATGAATATTTTGCATCTCTCACCCCATTCCAGCAGCACTGACGTTATAAATCACATTGCTAGGCCATTGGATTGATTTCTTATTATTGCAAAGGCAAAAAATCCCCAAGTCATTTTTCACGCACATTCCGATTAAATGGATTGTATCGCCGTGTGACGAAATGGCGGACGTGCACGATTCTAATGATGTATACATGTGGTCATGAAGAATTGCTGCTGCTGCCTTGACACTTCCAGGAATGTTTCTATCTTCTAAAAAAAGAAGAAGAAAAAAAATTAATAAATAAAAAATAGAGTGGTAAAAGAGAAATAGAGGGAGAGACAGAGAGGAAGCATCGGAGATTTGGTCCCTAAGCAGATTTGAAGGATACAGGAATGATTAGAGGAAAAGAGATGTGATGAAATAAAGACACACTTTAAGCTCTGCTTTCAGGTCCCTCCATGATCTTCATACCATACATGCTTTTATTAACCATAAACCTCTATCTCTCCTTCCAGCTCTCTCTGAGGTGCTGCTCCTCACGTCTCATTCCAAACCCCCGGTGGAGAAATGACAAATACGAGGTGTACGCTGTGATCTGCCGCTTTGAGAGAGACAGAACAAAGCCCAGTCAGCACTCCTCTCTCCCTCTCCGGAGCCGAGCCGAGGCCTGCGAGGCACCTTATTTCTCCTCTCATTTTTCTCAGAGATTGGTACCTTCACACGCAGATCTATACGGTGCTCCTGTGCTGCTCGCCACTGAAGAAAGAGGGTTATATTTTCCCCTTGAGTTAGGACACCTCATGACAAATGATAATGGATAATCAATAAAGCGGGAAATATGAGGCAGCAAACTTTATGAAGCCACGAGACATATTACTCCCCAACAACACTCGTTTCCCTTAACAAAGTCACTACTCGACTGTGCCTAATAATCTGAAAGAAAATCAAAGGACCCACAACCACATCAGCAATATTGGCAACTTATTCCACTTTAATGGCATTTTGATTGATTTTTTTTCCCTCCTAATGGTAGTTTTATAGATTTGACGCTGCTCCTGCAAAACAGTACTGTGTAATAAACCTCCCTGAAGGCAAACAGCAGCCATTAAAGCTCTTGTCTTACTAGCACTCATAATTGGAGGTTGACCACCATCAAATTTTGGTGCCTCTCTCTCACACACACAGATCGCATTTCAGCTTTTCATTTGCCTGACGTCCCCCCCCCCTTTTTTCCCCGTTTTGTGGGACATAATACACGGAGCTTCTTTTCCCTCCATTTTCTGAGGGACGGGGTTAAAAAACGATTGCGATGAAGGTGACCTTGGAGCGGACATTGTGCGGCTTCAGCCATGCACTGACCTGATGAAATCAGAAGGCCTGCGCGCTAATAAATCAGGCTGTTTTAAAATGAGTTTAGCCTAATGCTCATTCATCACCAGCCGTAATGCCATTTGCAGCCCGGGATCCGCTGTCGCACCCAAACAGCCTAGTAAATAACAACAGAACCTAACATCCTCGCATCACTGCAGCCTCGAACATCAGCATACATTTATTAAAGCCTCTGCCTTTCTCTCTCTCTCTCTCTCCACACACACACACACACACACACACATATACACTGCAAAACTCCCCCTGCAGCACGATTTCACAACACACAATAGAGCACTGTAAATACACACCAAATTTATTGTAATTGTCCCATGTCGGCATAAATTCTGACTGAGGAATCCTTATCTGAGGAAGTGTGCATTGGAGGAGAATGCTAAAAAGAGCAGCTTCACCTCCTCTGGGACTTGTATGTGAACACAGACTGGTGTTTACTTAAAAAAAAAAAATAAATAAAAAATAAAACAAGGAAAAAAAAAAAAAACACCAAGAGAGAAAACACCAGTGCTTTTATCAGACTCTGATGAAATGATGAATGACGCAGGAGAAATGAGCCTAACCTTGCATGATTTCTCTCCCCTTAGTCCTATCGTTTATATCTTTTCTCCTTCTCCACCAGGATGAAAAAGTCATTATCTTATCTAGAAAAAAAAGAAAAAAAAAGAAAAACGGTAGAAATCTCATTAGAAGCCAACATTTGTTGAGGGAGGACCGTAATAAACAATAACGGATGATGATCGTTATTGCCCCTGACACTGATGAGCTCCTATGCAAGTTTGTTTATTAATTAAAATACCCCCCCCCCCTCTTTTTTTTTTTAAACACCCTCCCATTCCACATGACAACATACCCCCTTACGGACGGTTCCAGTGCATAAGCCATTGAGCTGCAGAGGCGCTCGTACATCAAACTTCATGGTGCAAAGGAGAGACGGGGCGCTGATAACGTGCCCCGATAAAGCTGATTTTCCATGATGAATCTCGGAGCATATAAATTGGCTAATATCTGAAAACATTTACAGATACTAGAGGAATTGACTACTTGTGGGACATGATGGATGAGCCTCTCAGAGCCCGGCGGACAGCTCTGCAAATCTCGCCCTGGCTGACTAAAGCCCTCATTTGATTTTCCAATTTACTTCTCTTAAATCTATCCTCCTGGTTGCTCTGTCTGGGGAGGTGGAGCAGTGCTCCTTTCTTTCTTCCACCTATTTATGCAGCGCTGGTTGGAGGTGCAGGTTGGGTCCCGGTAGGGTTAGCGGGGCAGAACTGATCTGCCTCGGCCCGATTGGGGCTGATCGCGGAGAGCAGTTCGGGGTCTGGGTCAGAGCTTCTCGCAGACTTGCGCCTGACTCCAGTTCCTCTGCTCGACAGTAATTAGTATACACGTCAAGGCAAGTAGTACCTGCCTGCTTACCTCACTCAACCCCTCCACCACCACCACACACATTCAAACCACATCTCACCATGCTTAGGCCTCTTTATTTCTGTGTTAATGTGGATCTCGTTATTCAAAACCTAAAACGAGCTGCATTGCAATCTGCTCTACCTAGAATAAATATGTTGAGTACTATAATGCTCTGCTCTGCTGTGTAATATAATTCTATTTTTCAGCCAAACTGTATTAGTAATATTTCAACTCGGTCCCAAAGTGAACACTTCCACGTTCAGGACACCCCCCCAACAACGCGA